TAACAAAAAGGTAAATAATTTCTTACATTAAATAAAATGATTTTAACATAAATAGACAGAAAGTACTATGCTACAAAAGATTCATCTTGATGTAATTCTATCACTAACAAAATTTTATAATATGCAGTCACTGACAGCAGAAAAATACCAGTTATCTGCACAGAGGATAATGTTACACAAGGTAAATCTACCTCATGATATGATTATTTAACCACTGATATCTCATGCAATCATAAAGTGTAGTATCAAATTTTGTTTATTCATTCATAACTATAAAACGAACATTACTGACTGTTCTTATATTTTGTATAAATATATATTTATATGAATTTTCTCTACTAGTTTTTAGTAATGCTTTTTTACATTTATTTAATACATTACATAAATTTATATCATAAATTGCTATAAACATATTTTAACAAAAATATAAACAACAGTTCAATGAAATCAATAAGTAACTCTGTAGATCAATTGAATAGGAATTTGAACTCTCAAATTAAGCTAAATTCTTATTATCAAGATGAGTCTCATATTGAATCAAGTCAAAATATAATTAAGCTACATATGTGTTAGAGCAGATGTAGCTTTATTTCTTATTATGATTGATAGGTTGATAATTGGTAATTAAAATTGTATTGGCAGTAGTTATACAAGACAATACTTGCAATAACTTTCTTACCCAATGGATTTTCATGCTGACTAGTAACAGTATTATGATTTTCCAATCTTGATATATCAGTTAATAATCTTAATAATCCTAATTTCTTTAACAACTTCTCAAAACCTTCCATTGTTACACTTGTACCATCTCCATAGGCTTCAAACATTTTTTTCATGAAATATTTTTCATTTATTACATCTACATTTCTTTTTGTCCTGACCCTATTAAGTGGATTTTGATCTTTGATAAATTTTGCTGCATTCAATTCACCACTGCGTGTAATTTCAATTTGGCCTAGTCTTTCAAGTATTTCTATGTCCTTCAAGATTGTAGAATCTTCTTTTCTGATTGGCATATGCATATCTTGCATATTTTCATTAACTTTTACAATTTCTGAGCTTTTTTCTTTAGTAAGGGTTTCACTTATGGAAACTGGCACCAACAAAGTAGGAGTTTTGTTTCCATTATTCTTATCTAATACATTAGAAAATTTAACAGCACCATTATTATATGCGCCTATATTATTTAAATTTAATTTTCTCACATCCTTCTGTTGTGTATCTTTGAACTTCATTAGTAACCAAGATGGTTGTAATTGTTCGTTAGGGCCTAGTAGCTTTTCAGAACTAACAGAATCTTTAGTAGTTTGTCGTGCTGCAGAAAATTCAGTGTGTGCAGAACATGGAGTATGTGCAGCACATAAAACACAAACTACACAAACTGTGACAAAATGATGCGACATGTTGTATGTCCTGTAAAACAAAATGAAAAATTTTGGTTCAAATATTACTACTCTACACATGTATAAAACTTAATATTTACCAACCTTTATCACACCTTAATTATTGTTTAATAATGAAAAATATTAAAGAAAATTTGCACTGCTTATTATACAGCATTATGGTCTGTTTAAAAATCATTACATCAGAGGATTGGCACTAGAATGTTACATCAAATGGGAAGTAGTTATCTATGCAAGAATCATAGTGATAATGAATCCAGTTATAGCTAAGACTGTCATTGAGTTTTTATACTTATCTAAATTACATAGAAAATTACTCATTATATTCATAAATTTAAAGTATAACATGACCTAATTAATTATTGAAGTTACACTTCATAATTTTTACTGTGAACAAATATCATTGTAAAGGGCAACAAAACTAATTATTCAATAATAATTTCCTATATAGATAAATTTTTTTTTTTATCATAAAAATATACTAACATAAACTACATATTTGTCAGAATAAAAATGCAATTCACATATTGTACAATAAACATTTCCCAAAAATATACAAAATTTTCAATTTTTGTTTATACTAAAGTTATCATTCAAACAGAATTCTAAAAACATTACATATTTCTATTTATGAATAAACAGATAATTATATTTCCATCAACATATTATTGAGTGTAATACAAATATTGATGACACAGATAAGATTGATGTAAAACAAGTGTATACAAGATGGTGATTAATTCTGTTTTCCAGAATGAGTGTATTTTTGTAACAGTAAATATAACAAAAACTAAAATTAAACTTTGCTCTTCTTCTCAATATAATTTCCAGAATTACAATTAATTATATGAAATACAAATATTATTTCTCTCACAAGTGAAATAATTACAAATATACAAGTACTTTTTATCACATACATTAAAATTTATCAATTTGCTATTTAAAAGGCTAGAGAAAAAAAATTAAAAATGTATGTATTTACTTATAATGTTGTCAATTTATCTTATCAACAGCAATATACACAATAAATGTAAAATTCACAGCCGAGCGTTCTCATTTGAAGTGTATATTAAAATCAACATAAATTAACCATTGACGTGCAAAGCAAAAGGATCGCGGATGCATCACAATAACTACTCAGCCTCCACTCGATATGGAGATTTCAGCCAGCCGATATAAACATAATTAGTCGCAGTCCGTAGAGAAACGCACGGTGCAGCGAGATATGAAAGAGCGCGCATTTTATGAGTGGAAACTACGATAAACGACTCAGAATGCGTGCGCGGCGTATCGTTTCCGAAATAGTCAAGGTGTTCGACGGTTGCGGCCGCTCCGTCAAAAACCGTATTTTTAGCTGTCAAAAAGAGAAGGAGATTCGTGTGGTTGTCGCCCTCTTTACCCTACCACCGCCGTCACGTTAGAATATAGGTTAGAAAGGCGGCCTCTCGCTTTAATAGAAAAAAAAGACGTGTCAAGTTTTGGCTCGAGACCCGGTTGTTTTTTATCAGCGTACGATGTCCGACGGAGAGCCGCTGTGTTAAATAGCGATACACACTCTCGTGTAATTACCTTTATCCGATCGGTGAAACAAAATTCCCGCTAGGAAGTGGCATATGCTAATTGATCGAGACGCGCTCACCAGCTTGCGGAAAGCTCGCGAAGTCGCACGTTCACGTAAGAGGAACCCTTTGATACTCTCTTGTCTGTCCCCTTTCTTCCCTCCTCAACCGACCGCCGAGCACCAACTCCACCGCGTGCAAGCAACAAGTATACTCTGAACATAGCTGACCGTTCGTGTTCGACAGGACGACAAGCTTCGAGATATTCTTTGCTGTTACGTAATCTGTGCAAGAGGCAGCACTATCGCAGTTTCATAGGTTTCGAATTTCAACGCTTCACATTGTCGACACTGTTAAATAGTATGCTGCACGATGTTCAAAGTACTTAATTGGAATGGAATCTTCCTATTTTAGACTCTTAAAATAAATTATTTTTTTGATTCAAATAAATTTTTCAACTTTTGCTGTACAATGTTTTGACATACGATACTTTGATGAAAATTTAAGAAATCTTTTGCTTACAGAAATTTGCCTCTCCTTGTGACGAAATAAGCCACGTAAACAAGAACCGAGTGGAACTATTCTATTTAGTTCAGTAGTTATTAAAATATTTCTTTATGAATGCAGCTTTCCATTTATAAAATTTTTTATATTATAAAGGAATAAATATAACAGAAGCTACAATGTGGAAATAAAATTGCGAATGTATTTCTTAACAAGCTAAAAGTATTTTCAAGGTGGAATATAATCAAATATTTGCAATTATTAATATACGATACGTTGAATGCAGCAAATAGATTAGATTTGACTTTTAACGCAAGTTTTTGTGATAATTATTATCTGCATATAATTTTATGCACAATTATTTTCACTCAAAGTGCAGAAAATCTAATACCTGAAAAATAATCTATTTTAACATATCCATTTCTTTTATCTTAAGACCAACATTACGAGAAGCATACAATTATAAAATATTATGATATTAATTTCTATTATTGCATTTTAAATTACTGTCAAACATTTCGAAAAAATTTATCTCGATTACTAATGAAAACCACATGTTTCATCTGCATTATAAATCGTACAGATCATCGGTTTCTACTAAAAGTTAATTTTCCAAGCAACTGTTCTCTTTCGCTCTCAATAATACATAAAAGTAAAGGAATGTTGAGATAGATGAATTAAAACGAGATGGTGGGAGTACTATTAGAGAGAGAAGAGTTATAGTCGGGGCCACGATTGCATAGCGAGGTCGTAACTTAAACTCTGAAGAATCGGCACCGATTTATGTTGCGGCACTCAAGGCCGCATGTTGCAATCTGTTTTAAAACGTTGATCGCCCAGCGTGAATCGGTCGAATTTCTCGCGGGGCCCAAATCCGATGGTCGGAGCGCAAGAACGTAAACAGAGCGATTAGCTGAAATTAGCGTTCTATGTTACCAGAAGAAGAGGCAAATTCTCGAACACCAGGAAGCGAGAAAAAATATAAAAAAGACTACAACATATTGTCCCAATTGTCTAAAATCACCACAAATGTGTTTGAACTGTTTTAACGAATACCATGCTACGTAGTATAATGTTATATTTTATTTTAAATATAAATTAATGTATAGTATAATATAGTGTGTATATTTTTAATATTTTTATTTTGTATATTTTATATTTGCCGGTGCTTATTCCATTAAATTTTTGTGTTACAAATGGGATTTTTATAAATTACTTGTAAAATCCTACATAACTTGACGAAAAAGAACGTCACCCATAGCTGGATGACGGGGCCCCCACGGAACGTGTTAAAGTTCGAACAATAAATGAACGGTAGCATATGATTTGGTATTTCAAGTAGAAAATAGTATTTCATTTACAAATGGAAAATATGTTGATATTAACGACTATGTATCTGAAATATTTGTAATTTCTTTCTGTGTCGGCAGCTGCACAACCTTTTTGCATTTTCTGTCTGTATATAACACGAGCAGGTAAATTAAGTTGCTAAAACACGTTAATTTACCTGTAACCGTACTTCCAAAACCGGCTTCCCCTGCTGAGGGAAAAATTCTAATTTGTCCTAGCTGCACGCAGTTTTCAGCAAATATTTTAGAATCAATTTGACTCTCACTGGATACAAGAATTCTTCATACGGTCCTGACCATGGTTCCAAGTACATACTTACCTGCTCATATTTCTCTCAATTTTCGTATCCCAATTTACTTTGACGCCTGACCGATTTCACGACCTCCCTATATCGTGGCACCGACAATACTAACTCTGATACTGTATTCCTGATCTCTAAACCTATCTCACTATTTTAGAGGATGAACGTATTAGACAATCAAGGCTATTTTTCTTCGTCGGTTATCGAATATAAATATGTAAATCGTACGGCGATTAACAATCGGTATATAGAATCTTTTCGCACTGCCATCAGATGTAAGTACTTTACTTACTTAAATACGTGTGCAGCACACATGTACACACACTCATGCATATACGCCGGCACACAAAATTAACAGTGCAGATGCAGCTTCAGCAAAGGTATCAATAAAGGATGATAAAGAAGATTCGAAGAATAAAAAAATTGGTCATTCCAACGCCATCTCTTGTTTAGTTAATTGAACTAACAATTTTTAACAGGATAACAGAATATAAATGAAGGTATCAGACAAGGATAGCACTATTTGCGAGAAAGACAGAGAGAAGATGCTTCCTATTGGTCCATGCGTCTCTAATCTACGCTCCTTGTACAGAAAATCAGGTCGTTTAGGGAACATTCATTAATTACTCATTATCTAGGAATAACTTATGAACTTTTAGAATTTTATCACGAAGCTGGATGTTCTAGCTACTTTCACATGTAAATTTTAAGACAATAATCCTTTTCAATAATTAGTTATTAATAATTCTTCTGTAAAATGTCGGAAGTAATGCGACGCGCAATTAACATTTTTCATAAATTTCGCACTTTTATACGAATAAGTTATGCACTTTTATACACGCATAATAAAGAGTAATCTTCTAGCTATCTTCTAATACCTTTTTTATAAATATATCTTTCGCAGTTCGATAGTTATTTAATAGTATTTGTGCAGAGTATTTCATTCGTTGCACAGCAAGGAAAAATCTTTCGACAAAATTGTTAATAATTAATAAATTACGGCATAAATACGTACAAAAATTGTTGTAGAATATGGATAAAGATTTAGACTACATTCTTTAAGCATAAAAATATACAAAATGTTTGTAAAAAGTTATGATTAACTTTACTTACTTGCTGCGTCACCGAGAATGCAACGTGTGGAGACTCTTCCCAATAATGGTCGATAACTGACAAACAAGAAACAATTTGTTACTGAAAACTATACGTGAAGATAGCTAGAAGAGTAACCTTTCATATGCATGCTTGAATATGCGTAAATTATTCGCATAAAAGTGCAAAATTAACGAAAAATGTTAAACGCGCGTCGCAGCTGCTCCGACATTCCATAGAAGAATGATTAATAATTAATTATTGGAAAGGATTATTGCCTTCAAAATTATATGTGAATGTTGCTAAAACATCTAACTTCACGATGCAACTCTAAAAGTTCATGAATTATTCGTAGATAATGAGAAATTAATGAATTTTCCGAAGGTGACTTGATTTTCTGTCTAAGGGCAGAGATTAGAGACGAATGGACCAATAGGAAACAAGTTCTCTCTGTCCTTCTCGCACATAGTGCTATCCTTGTCTGATAGCTCCATCTATATTCTATTATCCTATTGAAAACTGTTAGTTCGAGTCACCAAACAAGAGATGGCGCCGATATTTCTCTTTTTCGCTGTCCTTGTCTAACTCATGGGAAAAAGTCTTCTCTCTTTGTCTAAATACTCCACACACGTTCTGTGTTCCTATTAACTCTAGATTTTTCCAGCGACCAAGATTTCATGAAAATTGGAGGTGTTTTTAGTTTAGATTCTGTCCTTAGATATATACGTAAATAATAACTCTATGCCAATACTACCATAAATAAATATAGGGTTATAAATTAGAAATATTATTAAAACTTATTTACTGTTTTATTTAATCTTAAAATGAGTATATACAAATTTACATTAAAAATTAAATTAATACTTCATGTATAAACAAATCATTCGCGTCACATTAATATTACATAGAATAAAGCATCCAGTCCAAAAATTTAACAGTTTTTACTGGAACACTTCTCACATTATTACGTTGTAATTTTGTTCGCAAATAAATAACAGAAGCGATCAATGTGATTTTATTTTACAATTAACTTCCTATAAAAGAAAACTGATGTTCATTGATAGGTAATGGTCGACACAAATAAAAAGTATGACAATCTTTACACATTTACAGCATACTTTTATTATGTAAAAGTATTACATAAAAGTGGTTTAATCTTCTTCTTCTTCCGGAGCAGCTCCTCCACTTCCCTTGCGCAGATTCCTCCTCTTGACGCGGCCAGGTCTTCCACCACCGAATGGAGACTTCAGTGAGAAGTCAATGTGTTTTTGTGAATCCAATCTCACAATGAAAGATGGAATGTTCACGACCTGCTTGCGTACTCTGTAACAGGATAAATCTTTATATTTCATGTCCATATATTCTAAAAATTATGTATTTTTAACATCTCAGATATCTTATTATACAAAGAATATACCAATTATTTTTAATATGCATAGTATCCATTAGCACATAACAGACGTTAAGTGCCAGTTTCCTGACACTTAAGTGGCCTGCCTGAAAGAAAACATTAGTATAGCAGTGCTTCAACACTCTTGAGCATCATAGTTGCCCATCCAAAATTTAAAGTCACATTCTTTCAATGATTCTCAGATGACAATCAATCAGGAAAACTGTTTGAATACCTGCAGTAGCCAAAAGACTATTACTTTCATATACTATAGATAACTAACAGATTGTAACTAACAAGTGAAACATCTGTTTCATGAAAGAATTATAACTTTGTATCCAAGTTTGAAACCAAATAAGTATAATTACTCATGTGGTGATTATCAAGGAATTTAATATTGCCTTAAAAGATTTGAAACAATCTGTTTAGAATCAGACATTCCTTGCCCAGGTTTCAAGGCATACAAAATTATAAGGTTCATGGCATGTACCTAATGTGGCGTTGGCGAATAAGCACACGAGCATGATGAATAGATTTAGCAAGTCCCAGTTTGAAAACTTGGGTTTGAAGTCTTCTTTCCAAGAAATCTTCAATTTTCAGACCAAGTACATAATCAAGTTTCATTCTGCTCTCATCTAGCACTCCAATTCTTACCAAACGACGTAGAAGTGCATTTCCTACAAATTACGAACTTTTATAAACAAAAATAAAAGTATAAAATGCAACTATTAACTATTTTATAATTTTATCAGTAGAAATAATTATGGTGTCCTCAAAATGATCAGACAAGAGGTGTCAGTTTCAAAATATTCTCATCATGGATATTTTTATTTACGGAAAAATGTAGGGTTACTACATAAAATAAGTTAATAAGGATTTATTTAATACCTTCAAACAAACGTTTGGGATCCTTTTCTTCCAGAGTAAGAAGCTCACGAGCGGCTTTACGAATATTTGCTAAAGTATATTTAACTCTCCATACTTCGCGCTTGTTACGGAGACCGTATTCACCAATAATTCGTAATTCTTGATCTAAACGAGCCTTTTCGTAAGGTCTTCTTGGGGTAACATATGTTTTCGAGAAAACTGACGGTATCCTTCCGTTCACCATTTTGTACAATCGTTATCTGATATAAATTTAATAAAAAAATAGGCTTTTAATATAATAAATAGGCGCAAATGTTTAATAAATTTTAATAATTAAATAAGTTTAGCATAAGAGTAGAATATTTAATCTTTACACGAAAGTAAAATAATGATAAAACTTTTTCGCACCACGTGTTTCAAGAACCTCCGACGAAACGTAGTAAGTTTAAAGATTTAACTTTATTTAATAGTTTCAAAACGAAATATGTGCTAACAATTTAACTGTTTTATGTTGAAGTTAAAATAAACCAAATTATAAGTAATTTATGAATAAATATCTCACCTTATCCCACCGTATGAGAATAACGACTACTCTGCGTCGTAAACGAGAAAGAAATGGCCGAGTTGGTGATGCAGAGCCCAGAGCTACTGTTATAAAGCGAATGCAGCGCTTAAACAGGAAATCCGGTTTGCTTTATCCAGCGGGTTTTTTAAGAGATGTAATATGGTTTTCGTTTATTTGGCTAACGTTAATATAAAACGATGCCTTAAAATCAAGTATAAATTAAATAAGAAATTTTGTACTTATAATTAAAAGACCTATCTGCATTGTAAATTTGGATACAGAAGAAAATATATTTTTAATTTAATTTTAAAAAATCATTTTTTATTAAATAAAATTAAAAAAACAATATATAACATTAGTTAGTTTAATATTGTTATTTATTGATAGTATCTCTATGCAATAAATTAAGTAAATTGAATTATATATGTAATAAATGTTAACATTTAATACGATAGTCGTATATTTCATACACAGTTTTACTTATTATTATAATATCATAATGACTGTACAAAGAAAATACATTTTACAAGTTTAAAAAATGCACATTACAAAATATTTTTCAATGAACTGCGTTTGCCAGTCTTTCAATTATGAAATGTACATTTGAAACAAATAACACGTCAATGCATACATGTGGTTACGTACGCATTATCGACAATGTTGAAAATAAATTTATTTCGAAACAATAAGTGCTTAGATAACGAAGAATTTTATCAGTTTTCTGATTCTTTTATAGAATTTTATATTCTTTATTGTTGTCGATTATATACTGTTGTTGACGTGCATATATTGCGTACAAAGTGCATATGATTATAATGATAATAATTATATTTATATTAGATGACAATTATAAATCAATCATATATTGGTGTAAGGAAAAAAATTATGTGCATACTTGGTGTGATAAAATTTTTTATCTTTATTTTCTTGTATTCTAACCTAAGCAAGTTCTTTTTTTTTACGCTTGTTTCAATGAATAAGCGTATCATTTTAATATATGCAATTTTTGTAATTAACG